CCACTGCTCCCCACCACACACACACACACACACACACACACACACACACACACACTGCGGCAACCTGGGCCCACCTTAGATTGTTATGGGATTGAGAAATGAACTCTGATTTTGAAGTCATTACATGTTTGCATCTGTCACAGCAGCCTAGCTTACCCTAACCATTCCTGGATCATTTGAAATTAATACCAAATAATTTCCTATCTTCTCCTAACTTTACTAATCATTAATTTACCAAAAAGTTCTCTAAAACTTGCAGGTTACAGGCCTAAATGACAAAATGAAGATAATAAATTCCTACAATTCCTGGAGGAAAAAATTACTATTAAAAAAAAAAATCAAGTCACTCTAGTACAAGGTACCTGACTAAAGAGGTTGCCCATAACAAGAACCACAGAGGGCAGCCTTACTTATCTAGATAACTCACTGAGTCACCTAACCTCATCTGTTAGCTCCTCACAAGCCTCTCACCTTTCTCGGAGGAACTCTGTGAAGATCATCAAGTATACTTTCCCTCTTGTGTTTCCTGTGGAGACAGCGGAGGTGCACTGCAATGTAGCCCATTACTACAAGGACTCAGGTACTTCACAGGTCAAGTTACCACCTGTGAGACTTAACAGCAAAATTTAAACACAGCTAACGGTGTTACTCGCCAATCCCAGCACAGGAGAAAGTATTCATTCCAGCCAGGAAGCACTTTGCCTGCTGCAATAAAACCACCCTATCACAACTATTTGTATGGATGTTTAATATGTGTCATGTACAAATTATTATTACTACTAGAGTATATTTTATTATTGTATTGTTAATAGTTGTTTGTGTGTGTATTGATATGTCTTCCACCCCTGGATTAAAAGCTCTACAGTCTGGTGGGAGAGAGGAGCGAGGAACTCACCCAACCCCAGCACAATACTGCTCCATAAATAACTGTCGAGTAAATGAACAGTTGCACAACTATAGCACTTCCTTCTAAAGAAGTTTAGGTTGTCTTCCTTGGCTTTGAAACCCTATGCCATCTTAGAGCTCCTAACTGCTTCATAGCTTTTTTTCACATGTTCTCACTTGATCTTTGCACAATCCTACGATTGTGCCATGATTAAACCAGAGCTCAGAGAAGACTTGTCTGAAGTCACAACACTGCTTGTAGGTGACAGAAGGTAGGTCTTCTGACTCCCCATGTCCAGTGTCCCTTCTACTATAACATTCTCCCTTCCATATCCAGAAAGATTTCAAGCAGCTTCTAAAGACCTCAGGTTTAATTTCTAGGTCACTTTTAAAATCGTTGTGAAATGGAATAACCAAAGATTTAATAAAAAGCAAATATTTGGAAGATGTAACAATAAGAAAAATATCACTAAATCTTGTAGGTTCAAAATGGAAAAACTTCAAAATACTTTGTCCCCATTAACTCTAAAATAAACAAATGCACGAGAAAACACTACAGTGCTAGATAGCCCCTTCCCCAGCACTCAGTCTTCGTGCAGAGGCCTTCCCCAATGCCACAGCCTACTCCTTTGTAAACCCCAAAGGTCTAGGCTTCAGGCTCAACGGTCCTTAGATCGCCTCATGTCCTGCAAACATCTGCCCCTGCTTTGGAGACACATTCACTTAATAAACTAGGATGGAGGGAGCTCCTCTGTGTATGCTTCCCACAAGGAAAAGAAGGAATGGTGAGTAAAAGGAAAAACACGAAAATGAACATTATCTACAGAGTAAAATATATTTTTATATATTTGAAAGGCTTCTACTGTCAACTCATTCCACCACCACTTTTAAGTATCTACTATGTCCAAGATTCATTATAAACACCGTGAGGGCTTCTTCTCCTGGTATCTCTAGTATCAAATGCTATTGGGTTGCCGGAAAAGTCATGACGTATTTTATCTATGTTTTTCGTTGTAAAAATGAGTCATGACTTTTCCGACAACCCAATATTTTAGACTCTGAACATACAAAAATGAGTAAGACTTAGCCTGCCCATAAGGCAGCTACAAAAACAAACACAAATTACTGTACATAAGGCAATATAAGTTCTACACAAATGCACATGTGAAGTGCTCTGGTAAAGAAAAGTAAACAGAAAAGTTGAAAAAGGCTTTATGAAACATTCAGCCTTGAAAGATGACTAGGATTCAGTATGGCAAAGGAAACAATATGTGCAAAAACACGGAGAAATAGCACAGCATTGGTGTGGCAGAAGTTGGGTTTCATTAGGACAAGAGGGTCATGGATGGGGGACAAAGCTGGAAAAGGAATTTGGAGGCACAGACAATAGAAGTCCTTAAATACGTGTATAATGCTAAGGAAAATGGGCTCTAGATGATTCAGACAATCACTGAGCTTTTAAGCAGTGTCAATGCACAATCAAATTTACACATTAGAACAGTAACTCTGGAGGTAGGGTAGAGGATGGGTAAACACGAAGATTGTCAGGAAAACAAGGCAGAAATTCACTTTACTAACCAAAGCAAGAGTTGGTAAAGGCCTGAGAGCAGCAGCAACAGAAACAGGGAGAAGGAGAAAATGAAGATCAGTAAGTCTTTTTTGACAAGACTGGAAGAGAAAGAGTAAAGAGAAAGAACAAACATAACTGGCATTTCCAGCTAGAATTTAATGATAATTTCATGTTAATTAGTAAAGGAGAAACAGTGTTTTTGTTTTAATCACTTTTTCCTGGAGTGAAGGGAGGAGGAAAGTTTTCAGTTTTGAAAATAGTTGTTTGTTTTGTTTTAATGTTATCTGTGGAATGCCAGGTAAAGCTCCAGGGGGTACTTTGAAATATAAAACTGGTCCTCAAAAGGCATGTGAATGACAGTTGGAGACATAACATTTGAGATGCTTTAAGATTCTTCTAGGAGTAGGCGATTCCACAGCTAGAAGGGCAAAGACAGAACCAAATTCAGTCTTCAAATAAAATCAACCCAGGAAGGATAGAGGGATAGGATAAGCAGAGAAAAGATGACGGCAACAAATTTGAAATTAGAGTGATAAGTCCAATACCAATAGTTTGATGCTCCCACACTCAGATCACAGAACATGTCAAACGATCATGATACCAAAGACCACAACTGAGTGCTATATACATAACTACGAAATACAGCATAAGATAAAGGAAAAGAAGCCAAGTAACAAATCACAATGCCAGCGTGATTGCATGCGAAATGGGACAGTAAAGGCCAGACCATGAACTCCAAAAGCCTGCACAAAAGAAATGAGCAGCCCATCTGGGAAATCAGCAAGACCCCAGAATAGCTCCACCCCGTTAGCTTACTGTACACCAAGCTTTTGCTCCAGAAAATCACAGGGGCTGTAGAGAGAGTCACATACATTATCATCTAGTTATCTAAAGGGGGATACAGACCAAAATACGTTTCTAAAGACAGGAGAGGCAGAGTTGCATTTGACACCAGTTAAGTAACCAATCATCTTTATTTTAAAAACATTCTATCCTACTGTGCATCTATGTATTTCAATTTTGTTTTTAAAAATAGGAAAACTGGAGGCATAAGGCAAGAGAAGGCGGGGTGATTTGTAATTAGGACGGAGGTGGGGTAGTGCATTAGCAGCAAAAAGTGTGAAGCTATCAGATGCTTCAACTCCCTTTTGCACTGACTCCAACAGCAGCAGAAGGAACAATGCTTGGCATGTTCTAAAACTTCATGCCTTTCAAGGCACTTTTATGCATTCCCTCTTTTCGAAGTGGCAAGATACAACGGAACAAAAACTTTGGAAAAATTGATACTGGACCTAGCTCTGTCTCAATGACTATCCATATTACTCAGGAAGTTAACCTGATTCAATCTGCTCACTGGTAAAATGGGCTTGTTTTCAGAGTCCCATACCAGAGGCCTTTTTTCATTTTATCTTCCCTAATTTATTTTAGCACAGAGCCAGGCACTAGCAGACACTCACTAGGTGCCACCATACTTCCTTCCCTAGGATTTCATTACCTATACTTCGGTGACAAAATCACTAACTTCTTTAGGCCTCAATTTCTCCACCTGTGATGATGCCTTACAGGGTTGTCTGTCGATAACGTAATTAATGTAAAGTGCTTTGTAAACCACAGAGTGCAAAAAAAATATGTAAAGTGCAACTGTTTATAGAACTGGCAAATAATAGCTACTCCCATTTTATCTCTAAAGGAACTGAAAACACCAAGAGGTTTTAAGTACCTAAAAAGAGTTCTATTACCTAAAAAGATCAGAGAAAAGTACTCAACACCTACCCAGATCCCCTCCATCACTCCACAGAGCTCGCTCAGATCTCAATGTATCCTCCACAAGCTTAAGGCCTTCCCAAATCACCTTAATTTTCTTAATATTCAGGTAAGGGGGAGGGAGGCTACAAATGAAAGAGGCAAAAGAACACAATAAATAATGACTTGCCCAAGGTCAAAACACTAGAGTAGAAAAGGAAATGCTGGCTTCCTGGCAGCTGAGACCACATCCCCCGTGACTCCTACAACCACCAAGAAACGACGAGCTCCTCACTTCCCCGGCGCAAGGACGCAGTGTGGGGGCGCCCCTTAGCCTCCTGCATGCACACCCCGCCGCTCCTCTGCAGCTCGCCGGCCGCCAACAGCCCCGGCCCCGGGTCCCCACACCCCCGGCCCCGGGCCCCCACACCCCCGCGGACACTCTCCCCGCCTCGAGAGGCCGGACCCCGGCTCAGGACCCCAAAAGGTTAAGTGTCCACAGCGAAGGGCCCCGCTCGCGCTCCATGCCACGTCAGCGCCTCACGCACTATGGCCCTCCGGACCGGGGCTCCAGCCACCGCCGTCGCCTCCGGGCCTGGGTCGCCCGGCCTCCCAGTTCCGGCGTCCCCAGGGCAGCGCGAGCCGAAGCAGGCCTCGGACTTCCTTTGACAGCTCCGCCCCGCCGCAGCCCCGGGAAGAGCCCGCCGCCGGGGCTGATGGACTTCTCTCGCGGCCAATCAGAACACGTAAGAGGAAGGGCGCGCTGACGGACAGCCCCTGCAACCAATCGCAACGTGCTCCCTGAAGGGGCGCGGCCACCGCTAGCGGCCCGCCCCGCCCGTGCTTCCGCTAGGGTGAGGAGGCGAGTGGAAACTTTCCCAGAGTTCCTCCGAGCTCCGGGGGACCCACGGAGAAGATGCGATAGGGCGGGGGCTGGCTGCAGTTGGGTCGGGGCGGGGCAGTGGGTCGGGACGCGCGGGGCCTCACTCATCCACGAGGGCCGCGGCTCCCTGGTGAAGATACGGGTAGCGGCTCCCGGCGGGTTCCTTCACTGGTGTCTACGCGGGCACGGAGCTGCCATCGAGCCGGCCCCCATTGGGGCCACTCACCTGTGCGGGCCTCGCGCTGGCCTCCTCGTCCGGCCGCACTCAGAGCCGGGGCGGGTCCTGCTGCGGCGCGGAGTGAGCGTGGGTCCCGGCGGGCACTGGGCGGTACTCGACGGCAGCTCACTCACTACCTAATGTTTCGCAGCAAAATGAAATGAGCAGCGCGTCCGCGAGCACTGCTACTCCCGCACCCGAAGCGCGCGTTCGCCCCGACCCGCGAGGCAAGTTGTTCGCTGTGGGACTTACCACACGCCGCATAGGGAACCGCGGCCTCTCCCCTTGCCAGGCCGCGCGCGGGGCGGTCCCCGGGCGGGGTCCAGTAGGTCCACCCCGCGCAGGGCAGAGCTGGGGGCTCCAATGCCCCGCTCGGGCCCCGTGGACATGGTGGCGCCGGGGGACCCGCGGCGACTCTGTAGACTGGTGCAAGAAGGCCGGCTGTGCGCCCTGCGGGCGGAGCTGCAGGGAGCCGGGCGCGCTGGCTGCCGGGGACCCGCCGGGGACACCCTCCTGCACTGCGCCGCCCGTCACGGGCGTCGGGACGTCCTGGCCTATCTGGCCGAGGCCTGTGACATGGACATCGAGGCCGCCAACCGAGACTACAAGCGGCCTCTGCACGAAGCTGCCTCCATGGGCCACCAGGACTGCGTGCGGTACCTGCTGGGTCGTGGAGCCGCGGTCGACTCCCTGAAGAAGGCCGACTGGTAGGTGGCGGAAGTTCCAGAAAAACACCCCTCCCCCATTTCCCCGCAGAATTGTAGGTTCCCGTGTACCTTGCCCCTACAGCATAGCTTCTCAAACTTACCCTGAGGGCACATTGTTCCTACCCTTAGGGGTTAACTGTTTGGTTCACGCAGTTGCTTCCCTTTGTAAAGCAGAGAACAGTAGAGAATATGATCAAACAGAATATAATCTTTCACACAATGAATTGTCTGTACTACATATAGCATGAGCCCTAGAAAGCAAAGTTATTCTGGGGACATCTAGCTAAATGTCACCAATGGCATTCTTTTAACTTTTTCTTTTGAAATAGTTATAGGTTTACAGTAAGTTGCAAAGAAATGTTCAGGGAAGTCCCATGTCCCAGGCTCCCTCGTCTCCGCCAAAGTTAACATCTTACACAGTAACTACAGGCACAAAACTAAGAAATTGACATTGCTACAAGCAATATGCTTATTCACATTTCTCCAGATTACACACACACACACACACACACACACACACACACACACGTGTAGCATTGCATAACCACCTCCACAGTCAAAGTACCCACCTGTACCATCACATAAACCAATTACATTTTGTTACGTCTACGTTGTTTTCAGTACTCACTATGTTGGGCTCCTTAGAGGTTCCCGGCGTCTTAAGATTCATAACATAATGAAGTTCCTTCCTGCAAGTAATTCCTGATGTGATATAAATAAGAAACACAGCAGACAGCTATATACAGCAGTTAAAATGCATCTTGCATACTGGGGAGGTGAGGAGGCCTGGTTGTGTTTTGAGGGTTGCACTTTGGCTGTGACTAAGCACAAGACTGATTTTCTTGTACTGCTGGTAAATTGGTCTAAAGATACTTCCAAGAGTCAAAGACCTCGATACTCCTCATAGCAATTCTGCCGATAAAGAAATAGGCTCCTAAAAACTAAAGGACGAGGTTCATTTGATTATGCATTTGGGAGGTGTAGTCACAGTGAGACATTTTTGCCTATTCTCACCTATTTGGCTTTCTAAAATATCTTGCTTGCTTTCCCAATCATCCTGCCTTGCTCAATATTCATTCCGTCTATGAAGCCCTTCTTGAAGATTCCAGCTTTCATTTACCTGGGTTTGTCCCTCTTACTTTCTCATTCACTATCATTATTACATTACCAAAAGAAAAAAAAAAAGTTGGTAATTCACTAATGTCATAGTAATCTGAGAAGACAGGTCCTAGATGAGACCTTACGGGTCATCCAAGTATAGTGAACTCCCACTATGTGCCAGACATGGGTTCTAACCCTGGAAATTAGGAGGAAAACAAGACCTACCCTTGCTTCTCAGGAGTTGGTGCTCCCTCATTTTGCAGATGAGAAATCAGAAGCTCATGGAAGCGAAATGGCTTACCCCAAATCATTAATGTAGGAGAAGAGGAAGACCAGAGCCACCTCCCTTAATATTAATGTTGTTCACTCCCATTGTTGTGGACACAAGTCAATTGAGAAACTAATCACAATTTCATTTGCTTCACCAATGTGTGCTTCCTCTTATGGCTAGGTACTATGTCAAATACTCTTTTCAAACTCCTTTTCAGCACAATTTAATTCAGAAGTGTACCCACCTCCACTAGGCGTGCCTACATCACAATCATTTTCACCCAGGGTCCTCACAGCAGGCAGAGAAGATGCTAGTCAAAGCTGCTTTCCTGCTTCCTAGACTCCTGAATCTTCTAGGATTTCCGTCTCTGCTGAGGATATGCATTTTCTGAAGACCTGGTCGCACACTTCCAATGCCCTTTCATCTAACAGCTTGTTCTGTTTCGCCTTAGGACTCCTCTGATGATGGCTAGCACAAGGAAGAATCTCGAGGTGATCCAGGTCCTCGTGGAACATGGTGCCAATCCACTTCTGAAGAACAAAGATGGCTGGAATAGCTTCCACATTGCCAGCCGAGAAGGTGACCCTTCCATCCTCCAGTATTTTCTCACCGTTTGCCCAGCTGCCTGGAAGACAGAGAGCAAAATTGGCAGAACACCTCTGCACACGGCAGGTATGGCCCAGAGCTGTGCAAGGAGGCAGGTGTGTGTGTGCGGCCTGCTGCCCCAGCACTGAAGAGCTCTGTTGAGTTTGAATTACCCACAGGGAACGGAGGGCAGGGAATAGGAGCAGCTTTGGAGTATTTGGGCATACACTTAGTTTAAGCTAATGTCACTTGGTACTTAACATGTATCCTTTCTTGTATTAGTTCACTTTTCATGCATAGCTGTCTTATCCCCCCCCCTCCCCCCAGGCTAGTTAGATGGTAAACCGGTTCTGTTTCTTACTGTCTTTGATCTTGGGCAAAGACCTTAGTCTCTTGAGCAAGTTTCCTCATTGGCAAGATAATGATGGCAATGATGTCCATGTCACAAGGTTGTTATAGGGTTTGAGGAGCCAGATGTGTATAGATCCCTTAGCACAGTGCTCGACACATCATGAGCATAGAACTGGCTGCTGCTATTTTCATGATCATTTTCACATTATTATTAAAGGCAAGAGGAAAAGAGATTATTTATATTTATTTATATATATATCTCCTGAGCAATACCTACCACATTGCTAGCCATTTAAATAAATATAGGTGCTTATAATTAAATATCTGGGTCTGAGTATATTTTACTTATCTGGTGATAATATCAAATATAAATTTGGGGTATAGTTGTCATTGTTTGGAGTGATTATCCTTAACTCTGAATTATTTGCTCAAATATTATTTTATATTAGTAAAAAACAAAAGTGCTATGACATAAGATGAAGTGGATATTAAGGAGCTCAAGAGTCCAGATAGAAAAGAATCTTTAGCCTTCTAAATAGTACATTGAATTAGAATACAGACTCTAAGTTACCTAAAAATCAACACCTGTGACATGATATAGTTTAGGAAATATGCGTACAATTATTCTAGCTACAGTGGACAGTGACCAAGGAATCCTTTTTAAAACTTTGCAAGTGAGTGGAAAATGTTTCTCTGCTCACGAATTGTTTGACTAGCTCCCCTGCTTTTCTGAAGCAATAGCACCGAGTCATTTACACAAAAATAGTGGGGAACAGATAGTCAAAATCTTTATTATCCACTGTAGTTATTTTTAGTAGAATTAAATTCCTGGTTATTTTGTCACGGATTACTGTTAGAATGTTTTACATTTCCTGGGCAAAAGCAGATTAGGGATTTGCAGCATAAAAAATGAGGAGTTAAAGTTAAGATTAAACATTTGCCATGAAAGCGCTCATAATGACAAGACAGTCAGTGCTGGCTATGTACCTGTTCAGTAAAACCATCCTTCGTTCCCACTTATCCAGCTAAATTTTTATTAGTGTACCTAATTGAATTACTTCTTCCTGTAAGTCATAGCTAAAAGATGGGGCAGAGACAGGTGCCAGGAAGAAAGAAGCATTTTATACATGCACTGAAAAGCTCTAATTCTCAACTCTCTTCTCCCAGCAATGCATGGCTGTTTAGAGGCAGTAAAGGTGCTTCTTCAGAGGTAAGAACAAAACAGCAAATTGAGGAAAATATTTGCTAATTATGACAGAGCGTTAATATTGATGCTATATAAGGAGTCCAGACAAATTGTTCAGAGAAAAACTAAGGTACCAAAAGAGAAGTGAAAAAAGGACAGAAGCAGATAACTCTCAAAGCACATAAAACAAAAATAGCTAACAAACAGGAGAGGAAATCATCCATTTGTCTATTCATTGAACAAATATTCATCAATGCCTAATATGACCTGTACCAGGTGCAGGGGCTACAGCATAAACAAGACAATGTATTGGGTAGTCAGAAAAGTCATGACGTATTTTTTCTCTGTTTTTCATTGCAACAATGCATCATGACTTTTCCGACAATGCAATAGTTACCCCCTCATGGAAATCAGATAATGTGAGTCTGGGGCACATTACAAGGAACTGCAGGATCCCTGCAGGAGGTCTTCCCAAACTTGGAGAAGACCCAAGTTGCCCGAGAAGTAAGGAATCTCAGCCCCAGTGATATCTAATCTATGACCTAAAGGAGGCTGAGAGTGGAGGCAGGGAGCATTCCAGACAGAGGTGACAGAGCCCAGAGAAAGCTTAGTGCATTAAGAAACTAAAAGAATGGGCCAGCTGAGTGGCTCAGTTGGTTAAGAGCTCACTCAAGAGTGCAAGCTCTGAGCAACAGCAGTTTGAGTCCCGGCCCTAGCTGAGCTGCCAACAGGTGGCAGGATGGCTCAGCTTAACAAAAAAAAAGAAAGAAACTAAAAGAAGCTCAGTATGTACTCAAGCCTAGAGTGAGGGGGAGAATGGGGCCAATTGAGGTTGGAGAGGGAGGCCAGATTTCAGTCAGGTGGGAGGAATACTGCAGACCATGGGAAGGATTTTAGATTTTATTCTAAGCATATAAGATGCCATTGAAGGGTTTTAAGAGGGGAATGGGTAATAAGTGTGCATTTTTCAAAGATCCTATTGTTGTAAAATAGAGAATGGATTGGAGGGGGAGCAAGAGTGCTGTGAAATAGGTGCTGTGAAAGCTATTTGGAGACTATTGTAGTTAAACAGCAGAGGAATCATGGTAGCTGGACTAAGAAGCTGACTGTAGGTATGAAGAAAAGACTTGGAGATACTTAAGTGGAATCAACAGATCCAGATGAATAATTCGATAAAGGGAATGAGGGAAAAGGATGGTCTCACTTAAGCAACAGGTGATGGTGCTGTGTCATCTACTGAGGTAGTGAACCGCGAAAGAGGAGCAGGGTTTGTGGGAGAAGATGACATTTTCACTTTTGGACATGTCAAATTGCATGTACCTGTAAGACATCCAATTAAAGACATCAAGGGGGAAGTTACAGGCACAGATATGAAGCCCAAAGGAGAGGTACAAATGTGGGCCTCATCAGCATAGAGGTAGTGATTGAATCCATAAGTGTGAAAGAGATTACCTAAGAAGACAATTTATAGTAAGAAGAGCGGAGGGCTTAATGTAGTGCCCTGAACACATTGCTTATGTGTAGGATTTGCTACTGCAAATTGGAACATACTTGGTTGTCTGCAAATTTATAAATATTCATTCATTGAACAAACATTTTTATTTTTATTTATGTATTTATTTTTAAGATTTTATTGGGGAATTGGGGAAGGGGAACAGTGTTGCGGAATCGGGGGAAGGGGAACAGACAAGTTGTTGTCCTTCAGTCTTAGTTATGGAGGACGCAGCAAGCTCAGCTCCAAGTCCAGTCGCACTGCCCAGCTCAAGGTACTGTTTTCAATTAGTTGCGGGTGGGTATAGCCAACATCCCATGCGGGAGTCGAACCAGCAGCCTCGTTGTTAAGAGCGCATGCTCTATCCACTGAACCATCTGGGCAGCAGTCAGCTCAAGGTGCCGAGTTCAGTCTTAGTTGCAGGTGGGCGTAGCCACTATCCCATGTGGGAGTTGAACCAGCAGCCTTGTTGTTAAGAGTGTGCGCTCTATTCCCTGAGCCACCCAGGTGGCAGCTCAACTCAAGTTGCTGAATTCAGTTGCATGCGGGCATAGCCCACCATCTCGAACAGGCCATCTTGTTGTTAGGAGCACATGCTCTCACCAACTGAGCCATCCTTCCACCTGTTGGTAGCTCAACTCGACACAGCTCACTGACCCATGTGGGAATC